ATATATATATATATATATATATATATATATATATATATATATATATATATATATATATATATATATATATATATATATATATATATATATATATATATATATATATATATATATCGAGACAGACAATTGAGTTCAGTTTTTACAATCGAGCAGACGATACATCCTCATCGCTTATCCTCCGCGACTAACCCACAACCAACGATATCTTCGCATATCCGCCACCATTGGACAACAAACTACGATATTCTTTCTATTCACTAAATACATTTCCCGTAACCTATTCCCAACTCAGCGACCTATCAACTAACCGACAGTCAAATTATTGTCCAAGGCAACGACAAGGAGTTTGTTAGTTGATCATATTACTTGCTTTTTGTATAACTCATTTATCCTTGCATACCAATTCATCGTGTTATATACATTCATATTTTATACCCTTTTTCTTGTTGTTAACTAGTAATATTGTGTAAGAACAATATTACCTCCCGAATATATCTGTATCGCCGAGAAAGGAGTTCAACAGAAAAACAATTTCCCAACAAATGATCACATGATGGCCAAGACTTCATGTATGCTTAATGATGATATAATTAAGATCCGAATAAACAGATTTCTTGATACGCTACGATGCTAGCATGTACCGATTCAGCTATCCTATAGCACCTTGCTTTAGGAGATTCCTCACTGACCATTTTTTTTCCTCTTTCTTTTTCACTGGAGCTTACTTCCGTAATCGCGACCATATCTTTTATCATGTCCAGCTTGCAAACATTTATGGTACTCTCAATATTATTGTCCAGTCATACCATTTCATTGAACAATGATCGAATGATAAGCTAGTAATTAACAATGAAATCGAATACCAGGAATATTTCCCGCAATCGTCATTCTTGATGTGGTACTGCTCTTCGCGCTTTGAACGTTTGCTGATTAAACAACACGAGTTTAGCATCAGGAATGGCAGATAAACAAATCTAGGAATGATGCTTCAGCAATGAGATTATCCATAAATCTTTGGGAAGACACTTGTATAGACAAAGTCATTTAACGTGTGATGTAAAGTAATCTGCAAATTAATAAGAATGAAATGCTGACGACATCGGCCACATCGTTTGTCGCGAAATCTAGAGTCATAGAAACTGCTTGCGGGTGCAGGGACAGATGGTGTCGACTCGTGATTCGTTACCATGGTAATTATTCGGCCTCTGTTGACCATTATATATAGTTGCTTCTGAATAGAGATAATGCAGTAAATCTTTATTTCTAATTTACTGAAACAAATTACCAGCAAATTTTTATGTGCTTTCACCGCTCATTTGTTAGACAAATCATTTGCTTTGCAAAATAATTTAGACAGACGTCCAGACATCGCAACTAACAGACATACGAGTTTTACAAGCGAGAAAACTCGACGAAATGGAAGAAGGAAGCGGATCCTTAATCCTCTGGGTGAGAAATCCAACGAAATCGACCAAAAATTGGATATCGTCCGCGCACACTTTCTCATCGGAACTTTTGCTACTTTTTTTTCCTGATAAAATATACTACAGAATATGAATGATTTACTGAATCTGCTTTCTGTTGTTTAATGGACGTATCATACACTGATAACCTAAGGATATCTTAGCATTTCGAGATGTACCGGCTGCAACGAATAAGGGACTGAAATTAAAGTAATGAACTAGTGCTAATGGATAAACCAAGGGTCGCCCAAATTGATTTAAAGATAACTGATCATTCCCCATACCCATCAGACGATACAAAAGTTTAGGAAGGAAAATGTAGTGCTTCAGCATAAGAATTTTTAATTTGATATGTTTTAAGGCTTGCAGTCCTTGATTGCATTCCAAAATCAAAACCAGTATGTCAAATCACCACTAAACACTCTAAACACTTTCAATTGTCAGGAGTGTTTAACAACAATTCACTTAAAAGACTTCAGATTTGACCATAAAATGAGGAATAATCAAAAATAACAAGTGCAATCACCATGCTTCTTTCACATTGATATAATTCCTAATGATATGGGATTTACGCATGACAAAAAGACTTTAAACCCTTCAAATTAGAACCAGTAACACTTACACCATGGATATATACATAAAGGAAAAATTTTTTGGAAAGGAAGAAATAAAGCGAAATCAAGACATCTGCACAAACTAGGATAAGCAGACGTATCATCAGATACCTTCTGCATATCAGGTATTTTCTACATACAAATAAATGTACATATAGACAACTCATGTGATCAATTACTATTAGGAACATCTTTGCTGGAGGATATGTTGAGCGAGAAAACAACATTACAAAAATCGAAGCGATCAATAAAATCACAGATGATAATATTGAAATAAGAAGGTTCATCGAAAGTGGTAATCCAGGAAATAGCTTCTTCCGTACATTTCAAAGCGTATTTTTTTTCAAGAGTGGAAAATGGATGCATGAAGATATCAAACCATTTAACTGTCAAAATTGCTTGCGTTACAAAGAACACATTCCTAGGACCTCGTCTTTGATCTCGTATCGTTCGATTGAGAAATTTAAATAATTTACTATTTCGATTCACATTAGCATATGGACTAAGAATACAACTGGAATCCCATATCCAGGGAGTAGTTTGATGAGCTGCTGTTTCCGTTACTGATATAGCTATCACTTGATAACCCGACTGCCACATGTTAGCTAGGCTTATCTTAGTTACATCTTCTCGTAAGCATAATTTCCGACCAAACACATTTTCCACCATTTCCAAAAACTTAATATACTCACTGCTGTTAAAATTATACAAATGATTAAAATCAAGAATGACAATTTCTCTTACATGACTATCCAAAAAATTATTTATAAGTAAGAGAAGTTGTTCTATAGGACTACCATAAAGGGCATGCAGAACACGTACTCCACATAATTTAGCAGATAATGGTACTGTGAGTCTAATATCGAAGTAACGTATACCGGCATAAAGTTGCTTAACCACTGAATATCGTTGTGTTGTGGCCCATCGTCGGATGAAGCGTCGAACCATCCGGAATCGGCCAATTTCTCGGATAAAACGACCTTCATCATTTGCTACGGGATATTTGTCAAACAATAATTGTGTGAACGAATCATGCGATCCTCAAAATAGAAACAGCATATGTGCATTTAACAAAACAATCCCTAGTTTTCAAAGTAGCAGCTTCCTTTTTGAAAACTTATTCATCATTATCGCTACCAAGGTATTTCCAGTACTTTGGGATGCACGGTACACGTGGTGAGGTATGAAACAAATTTGCGCCTCTATTGCAATCCTCTAGTTGGATGATGACTACTGTCGATAGTCATTACTAGTTCGCTGAATATGTAAAACACAAAGGTCTTTTTAATTAGTAAACAGAAACCTGGTATAGCAACACAAACAAGGGGTCTCTCAGTAACTTCCTGAGGCAAATTACTCATCCAGTATTCACCATTACATCGCATTCCATCGGTTTCTAATGACTTTTTCATTTTTTTACGAAACCAAGTGAACTTTTTCAACACATCTCTACAAAGAAAAATTAAGGAACATTGTTGCTTTGGTAATAATAATACGCATAATGTAACGGATCTAATAGTAGAAACATGCTGGGAGCATACGATCTACATCGAAGAAATCTCGATGTGGCCCTCGCTCCATTAGCTAGTTAGGGTATCGGTAACTGTTCATTACGAGTGGATATTCCTTGCTTATCGTTGCACACATCAATACTTATCGCCACTTCTCTTACTAACATCATTTGCCGATAACTAAATCAACTGTTATTCTCACATGAATGTCACTACTGTATGAGGAAAACTTATAGAGAAGTCATTGCTCAGATATTAGCTGTGCTGTACAGTTGTTTCAATTGATGAAGAATGCTTACGGGCGACTCTTCGACGTTTTGAAACTAATCAACACCTAGATTTATACCACTCCCTCCACACCTCACCCCCTCTCACGGTTTAACCAGAAATGATATAAATACAACCGAGGCAGAAATTTCCCACTCACAGACCTTTTTTGCTATCGGGTGGCCCATAGTATTAGGTTAGCCGCTCTGTTTGTTTTCGAAAGAGAAGCGGTTTTTGAGATGTCAAATTAATTGCAGTGACAGGCTAGATTAGTGGTTCCCAACCTTTTCTTGACCAGGGTCCACTGTGGCTGTTTTTATGCAACAGGATCTATAGGGTTTAAAAATAATGAATTCTCTTAATTTGAAAATAAACTTTAATTTTTTCTGGAGCATTTGCAGAATCTGGCGTAGATTGAAAAATCAAGGCAGGTGGAAAGTTATTAGTTTTATGTTCAAATTCATAATGCTAGGATTTCCATTTTTTCATGGAAAAATTGGATTAAGATGTATAGATAAGCGGGAGATATATGATATAGAAAAGATTTTCATGTTGCAATGTAACGATATGCAAAAGCTTTCTTAAAAAATAATGTTATTCGTAAGAACTATGTATCTCTTAACGTTTACTTTCAGGAAATGGAGGGAGATTTCTTTATTACAGAATATATGAGTTGCGGACGAGATGAACTGAAATGTACAATAAAAAAGTTATATTCAGATTTCATCGTCAATGAAATAACATCGGATGGAACCGTTCTTGGCAAGTTTACACCGTACTTCCTCATAATTGATTGTTCGTTACTATCACAATTGATTGTTTCATTATTACTAGTTGTGTACTGCTAACGATATATTCGGGTATAGATTAATATGTAATTTTAACTGTCAACCTTTATTTTATCTATCGTTATGCATTATATTACACTTCTTTATGATTAAAAAGTGATATTCAGTGCTGCGATATTCAACCAATGTATCGCCACTAAGAAACAGGGACTAGTTAGGAAGAATTAAGGCATTTATGGTATTTTTTGCGTTAATTAAGACGATTTTCACCATATGTGTTTGAAGATTTTCACCATATTTACTTAATTTCCTTCTTCAGATATATGTTTACCATGCACAACGGAAACGATCATTGAAAGTAAAGAAATAGAAAATAGCTTGACAGATATAAGTGTTATCTCCACTCCAGAAGCTGTCACACAAGAGCTAGTCTCAAAAATCGATGGTCTCCTCAAAGATGAAATCAGTGTTGTTGAAATACCAACTGAAGTTGGCGCGATACTGTTTTTAGTTTGATTTCTTATAAAATCTGCTCACCACTTTGATCAACGTATGAATGAGATTTCTGTTCTTCTATCTTTCGTATTTTACTCACTCAGGGTATGGATAAACAAAAGCGTACCATTATACATGACTGGATACGCAATCGATATAATGGTCTTTTGGATTCACAAACAGTTACCAGTGCGATTCGAGTTCTAATATCGAATAAGCGAACTAGGTAATCTGCTGTTCATTGTTAGTCACGGAAATTTCTTTGGAAAAAGATAGAGCTACAGTGCTTGCAAATATATATTTCATCTTCATAATTTGTTTTAGATTCACTGCTGGTCAAAATCTTCCTTATTTCTAAACTTATTTTTATTGTAGGAAAAGAAGGACCTGGCCAGTAGATCGCCCCGATTATGTTCATTTCACATTATGCAAAGAAAACAAGGATACACATTATGCACTTTCTGTGATTTCCAAATTCTTGGGGTAAGTCTTATTTATCGCACAATATTTTTGATTAAATACTTGATATCAGCAAATGGAATTTAGGATAAAAAACACTTCATTTGGTATTTGCGGTACAAAGGATCGTCGGGCTCTTACAACACAACGAGTATCATTATATCGATGTGAAATTCAGCGTTTGAGAGAGCTTAACGCAAAGCTTCGCGGCATAAGGCTCACTGATTTTACTTCAAATTCAAAACCATGCAAATTGGGTGATCTTTGGGGAAATAGATTCAAAATCATTTTAAGGTTATTCATTTTTTACATTTGTTTATGAATTTTTCTGTGACATGCAAATTTAACAATCGCAATGCAGAATCATGCACTTGTAGAGATGTTCATCCGTTCAGCGAAACTGATTTAGTCGATAGGATTGAAGATTTCAAGTCAAACGGTTTTATCAATTATTTTGGAACTCAGCGTTTTGGATCGTGCGCTTTTAATACCGCTGAAATCGGTATTGCAATTTTAAAAAAGGAATGGGAAGTTGCCTTGAAAACAATTTTGAAACCACGGAATGCACACGGTAGGAGTTTATTTTCTATAGATGAAGCAGTGGTTTTCATGAGATATTTCAGGAATGCTGTGATGCTTGATTCAGCTAAGAACTACTTTATTTAATGATCTTAAGGAAGTATTCGGGAAGCTTTGGATGAATGGAATAAATCAGGAAACGCTTCTACCGCTTTGAAAAAACTCACAGGCAGTCAGGTAAGCATGAACGATAGAAACTATAGGAAACATTAATATTACAGTGTTTGAGTGCTATTTCCAATGAATTTGGAAGAATTTTTTGGAATGAAGCAATAGATTCTCGTATTCTTATAGCAAATATTCATTATTTTATGTAATTTTAGGCATATGCTACCATCGAAGGGCAACTTTTATCATCTCTTAGCAGGAATAAATGCGATTATCACGGTGCTCTATTGAAGTTAACTCGGAATACACGCAGTCTTTATGTTCATGCCTACCAGAGCTTGTTATGGAATAAGGTATCTGTTCATTCTTAATGCTTTGGGTTAACATAAGTATATGACTTTTATATCACCGTTCATTTTTGATTTCTTTCGAATACTGCCGCCAACGAATTACAAGCCTTCTTAGGATTTCATGTACATGTATATATTTAGAATTTAATAAGTGTTTTATGTTGGGGAGTTACAGCATTTTGAATTGTTTAAAGGTTGTTACTCGATGGGTTAAAAACAGGGGATTTCGTGCGGTCGCCGGTGATTTAAATGTTCAAGGTCAAAAAATCAGCGATTTTCAAAATGAGGAGGTAGCTTTGCCTCTGATATCAGGATCTGTTGAGTTTCCTGACAACGAAGGTTTTTTTTATGCTTTCTCTTTACTATTATTATTTTTTAGAATTTGTTCACCGTCCTTGCTATGATTATAATACTTATGATTATAACTGTAGTATTTACGATTCCTTGTTATGATTATAGTATTTACGAGTTATGAAACAGAAAATGGAACATTTTTTTCAGTCAAGAATTTATTGGCTTTGTTTTTGAATGCTGCCAACAGTTTGTGTTATGATGATTTCACTGATCAGATTTTCAAGTTTTTTTTTTTTAATAAAAGAATAAAATTCTATATATTGATTTCCGTAAATAAACTGGAGTGTTCAATAATCAGGTTTGATTGCTGACAGTGTACTTGCGACCGTCATGAATATTTTTCAGTCCGAGATTGGTATAAAGAAATAATGGCTGAGGACGGCGTAACAATAGCAATGTTCAAGGCATTAGAAAAGCATGTTTATTAATATCACTATTATGGAGTAAAAGTAAATAGGCTTTTCTCATTCATTTTCCTGGATTTGTAATTAACTACCAATAACTTTCTTTATTGCCATATATTTGTATTTTTTTTAAGGGAATGGGCAATAGGCACAGTGATGCGACCTCTTATTGCCAAAGCACAGGATGTGAAGTATAAAATACTGACCTATCCCGAAGCTAGGACAAAATTGCAGGCAGATCTTGAAGGAGATATAGATTCAGGAAATATTGGAGTCGGCGACTTCCACGCTGTAGCTTTAGAGTTTTCTTTGCCTTCTGGTTCTTATGCTACCATTGCTTTACGCGAAATCACAAGGTTACTAGTTCTTGCTATTGGAAATTCAAGCATAGTTATTTCCTTGTTGGTAGAAAACTAAATTTTTTCTGTAGTGTTTCGTTTATCGAACGTATCAACTACCGTATTATGTGAAATGATATAACCTGAGATATTAAACTTTGTCTCGCACTTCAGTAAGTTGAGGTTTGTGTTCTAGAGGGTTGGAAATTTTTCGTCACAGCTGTAATTATATTGTTTACAAAGAATTTACCGGGTAATAAAAATGAAGTTTATATAACCCATAAACTTTTTTTGCAGGTGTGATATGAGTAAATTGGCTCAGATGTCTGTGGCTCAAAATGAAAAGGATTTAACTGAATCTGTCTAGAACTTGAAGAAATATTATGTATGAATGACTGCAAGCAAATTGACACCATTGATGTTTTAAGCACTGTTGTAACTCAAAAACACCAAATGATAAAAATTTAAAAGTTATTGCACTGATGAAAAATAAAGCTTGCAAATAAAGCTTACAGTTCTATTTTCGTAGTTCTCGTGTCACTATCCAAACAATGAATACTTTCTTAAAAATTCGTTTTTAATTTCTATTAGTTTCTTATTGTTCTCATCGATGTTTTATTTAGTAGTCATTTGTATCGGGTGAAAATTACTAGATGTTTTGAAAAGGTTACTATTTTTGGGCTACTTCAAGGGCAGTTGCAATTTGGTTACATATGTGGTCCTATTGGGCGTAATCATTTAAAATTAACTGTTTTTAAAAATGTTGTGGATTCCAGACAATTAGTGCAATAGCTCAGACACTGAATAATGAAATTGAGCGTCAAGAGTTCAGATGGCAAGATAGAGGTCTTCGATGGAGTAGATGACTGGAGTTTCTCGGCTTTGCGTCGCCAGGTGGTCCAGCGATTCAACTTGAAACGGTAGGAAAATGTTTTCGGCATTTTGTGGTTTCATCAAATTTGGCTAATATAAATTATATGAAATGCTGGATGTGGGTGAGGACGTAAGATTTAACTTTGGGTCTTTTGCTCAACTAATCAGATTTTCCAGTAGCCTGAGTTGAATCTTTCAGGAGTCCATGTGCGTCTTACCAGACGTACATTAGGAGATATATGTACTGAATATCGGGAATTTCTGATGATCTCGGTCTCCTGTGATTTAGTGGTGGGTTTCAATTCGCTCGATTTCGTATTTATGTTAGGTTTCAGTTTATTTGGTTTTTTTTAAGACGTTTGGTTTCAGCGATTTTGAATTGTTTTTCGGTAGCCGTCAGTTGCCAACAGATGATACAAAACTTTTTGAATCAGATATGGAATTCGTTAATGGAGATCGCCTCAGATTGGTCGTAAATGAAAAAGGGTGCATGTTTTGCTCACTTTTTCTTTGTGCATATTACTCAGATGGAAAATCTAGTAATTTGAAGAGATCTTGAACAAAGTCATAGAAATTTCCTTCGGAAAAAGTATGTTGTTAACTAGTATGAGGTCGCTACAGCTGTATCATGGTATTCTTAAACCATGTCGAAGTTCAAATCCGCTCTAAGCATATCACTGCATCATCAGTTGTGATCTTGCTATTATTCAGGCTTTCTTCTGCTGACAGTGTCGGCAGTTCTTCCTCGGAAATTTCGGCAAGAATTGGAAGCAGCAGTTCGGACAATGCGGAAAGAAGTGAAACCATTTTCGAAATCGTGCTTGATGAAATGAAACAGAAAGGGTTTGAAGTAGGATTTGTTTTTACACTAATTAGAACTAATCTTGCTCGTATACATCAACTGTTAGGCACTTTTTTGGCGTGTTCTCTAAAGGATAAAAGGGATCCTCATTTTAAGCCCCATATCAGCCACACAAATATATAAATGATGCCTACAAATATTTCTGTGATAATAACAACTTACAATTCATCATTGGCTGATGCAAACTTGTCAGCAAAACTTGTTTTACTATATGAAATGGCGATGCCGTAAGTACCACTGTTTCTTTATGTTAATCTGAAAAATCAGGCAACCGGAATCGCCGGTAGCCTAATCAATAGCGGATTAGACAAAACAGTATGGTAGATGATATCAAAATGAAACGTGAATTAAATGCCTAACAGGGGAAAGGGAGGGAGGGAGGAGCGATGCAAAAAAATTATGCAACCAGCTTTTATCTATTTTCACTACTTTTTGAGTGATTAACTAGAGTTAGTCTTGGTGAAACATTTGAATTAATTTAAAGCTATTTGAATAATTCTTTCTTTTTCTGTTTGGATTTGCATTTTCATTTCAAAATACAGTTTGTAAGCACAACTGATTCCAGCGCATTAGACACAAAGATGGTGATGCGCGTTGGACATTTCATCATCCGGATTCAGTTCTTTTTGTTGAGATCGATTTTCGTGTTTACAATGACCGATTAATGAAGTATGTTCACGCCACTGCTAGTATCTATCATCCCTCCGGTCGACAGTTTCTAGAACCAGTTGTTTTAGAGGAGAAAAGCAGTGATTTACAAAAAAAGGTTTCCGAGTGCTTGATTTCACCACTGAAGTTGGCGTTACTTGGGCGTAAGTGTTTCTGATATCGAGAATCATATTTAGTGATCTAAATCTGCCAAATATTTAAATGCATTTACTAATATTTTGAAAATGTCGTTATCTGACTAGAAATTTGTTTCATTTCTAATTTGAATGTTAGAAGTACTTATTTCAATGATTTTTACTCTTAACTTAAATCCATTCGTTCAGATTATGCTGTACACTTTCATAGTTTCAATTACTTAGAAGCTCTTGCAGAAGTTAGAACTAAAACTTCAAAAATGAATGATGCACAACACCTCTTTCTTGAGTATGTTGCGATATTATTAAGATACCAAGTTTGCATTGATAACTTTTCAAGGTTTTCTTTTGAATTGGCCGTTGTGTTTTTGCTAATTTAGACATATTTATTAATATTTTGAAAACATGTCCTTCCCGTTGCATTTGGCATTAAAAATGTTTTCCCACTGCCGCAAAGTGTATTGTAGAGTATTTATGTGAAATGAACTGGATTATTTTGTTCAAAATATATCTTGATCAAAAGATTGACACCTCTAGCAAAATCGAAAAATTTTTAGATGAAAATCCATTTCTGCGTTTGCTTGGAACTGGCGTAGTAGCTCAATATTTGTTCGAAATGTTGGATGCTAAGAGTATTTTACGATTAGAGAGAACGAATAAATATGCTCTTAAAGTGTGCAGAGGTCAAGCAATGGAAAGAATTTGGAAACTTTTCTGTGAAAGGGATTTTAGAAAAGGTAATTATTATGGTTTTAAAATCATACTTCTTCAGTCAGTTTGATTAAAAGGTCAAATCATTGTAAGTTGAAAAAATATATTTTTTTTTCAAATATAGATTTTATTTAAGGTGCTGCTGCATTAAAAAAGAATCGTATCGCGAAGCATACAAAAGATTGTACGTCCGGCATGTACGAGAGCTTAATTCTTTGCGAAATCTGCTAGAACCTGATTCTCACTCTGATGTTCCTATTCGTATATCTTTTCCAAATCCACCACACAGACCGGAAAACCCTGATCCTGATATTCCTGAAGGCCCATTGCAACCTCTATCTCGTAATCCATTTATGCCACCCTCAAATCCCTTCCCATTTTCTGGTCCAGTAAATCCTCTTGATCCCTTATATGGTCGAGAATTGTTACCAAACCGTCCTGTTAGACCTAGCGGTATTCCAAGAGTGTTCCCACGTGGTCCTCGTACTCCAGATCAGGGAAATATGTATCATGATTATATATAATGTGTACTGAACATTTGGAGATGTCCCAGTGATCCGATGAACAGGTATATCTACGTTTATTTCACTCCAGTGCATCATGTTTATGTGCTCGTTTATATACCAGTTTAGCTAACATCATATATAATGTATAAATTCTTTTTATGTATAAATCTTTGGTCTTATGAAATATGTACATTAGCTAACCCTCTAGAACAATTTCTTGTTCATTACCGTTATGGACGGCGCTTATCGTGACATTTGTGATGGATATGTTGGAGTTACTGCAAGAATTTTTCAAAAATATGTTGGTAGGTAATTGAAAAGATTTTCCCATTCGCGAATTAATTCCCAATGTGGCATGAGGGTGATATCATTTGCCGAAATGTGATGTGTTATCATTCACTGATATGAAAGAATATGTGTTTTGCTGTTAAATAGATGGATACTGAGGTAAAAAAGCAAAACAGTTGCAGATATATCGTTTTAGGTTAGTGAAAAACCAGTAATGACTAATCCGGTTGGATTGTTTTGTTATGGGCACTTTCAAATCTGTTGCAGTTCCTGTTTACAAAAGTTTTTTACCGTGTTTCCCTGAGAATAAGAGAGGTCTTATGTTTCTCCTCCCTTTAAAAAAAAACTCGAGAGATGTTTTATTTTCGGGAAACACGGTAAGTCAGGAGACTGAGCACTCCTCTTGACCATGCTGAGCGATGACGAGGCCGGGAAATGGCCAGCACGGGGTAGGAGTGGACTCGAGGCTTCGCACTGGCATTCCCCGCGGCAACGCCAAGCAGCGAAGAAGCAGGCAATAGGCAGCGGAGGGTAGAGTGGACCCGAGGCCTCATCCAGGGCTTAGCACAGCTGCAGAAAACGCCGGCTCTGGTGCTCATTGTTGCTGCAGCAAGACCGAACTAGATCTTATTTCCAAGGGAAGGCTCATATTAAACCCCTCATTGAAAATGTCACTAAGGCTTATTTTCAGGGGATGATTTATTTTCGGGGAACACGGTAGGCAGGATTGGAATAGGTAAGATTTTTTTGAGTAAGGTACCTAAAGGAGAGTGCGATAAAATGGGAAAACGAGTTTGATCACAGCGTCAACCTGAGCGTTCTTAGGGAAATTGCGGTGGGCAACGAGTAGCGATGACTGATGGTTTAAGTGATGTAGCTTTTATTCGATTTTCCTTTGAAGTTTCACTCGATTCAGAGTACAAAATTATTCTCCATATTTCTGAAGTACCATTTTTGCACCGGTGAGGGAAGTTTCTTCGATGAATATGGCCCTAAGCGGAGGAATAACCAACGAAAAAGTAATAGCGCCTCGCTAACATGGAAAATTTTCAACATCTTTGTATGATTTCCATTTGGCTTTATGAATTTTGCATTATGAAAATTTTAATTGTCGAATTCGACTCTTAATTAATGGACCTTTGGGAATCTTTCGTTTTCATAAATTTTGTCCTACAATTGCTCGTTCATCATGAACATTGTCTGGTTATTACCATGTTAGTGGTAATAACATTTCTACCTATGAAAAGCCTAGAAAAACACTGTTAATTGAATACAGCTACATTCAGTAGCAAAAGACAGTGTTGAGACGATGATCATTTTAAGCACAGCTTACATCGCCCATGTTATCGTTATACAACTTCTTGTTATTTGCATAGACTGGAACAGTACAGGGCGAAAAAAAAACTTCCCATTGAGGAATTTCCAGTTAATACAATGAAGATATAAACATTCAATTGTCAATTAATGGTAGACGAGCTCCCAACCAATGAAGTTGATATAGAAAACAAGGGAAATAACCTGAAAAGAAACTGGAAGCTATGTTGGTTACCAAGGAAGCCAAGTTCATACTAGTCTCAAAGTTTTGGTGATGTCGTCAGATCGAATGGTGAGGCGTACGTGCATAACTGATTTTGAAATATCACTTTAACTTCCCTATTCACTGATAAAAGTAAGATGAGAAGAAGGAAACTTGCACTTTTAAATTCTTATAAGTCCTCAGTCTTCGGCGATTTTTTGTGCTCTTTGCAATTTGGGCGTCTTACTGCTTCAGTGAGCATCCAACAAATCCAATTTCTTCTAGAATAAAAGTGATACTGGCTAGTGATCAAAAACGCTAAACTTTTGGTTTTTACATGGTTGCAAAGGAAGATCTATCAAGGAAAATAGAAGGTCATCCTTAACCACTAACTCTTTTAACCCAAGCTCTCCAATGGTGATCCCTTCTAGGTGGTCAGTAAAATTCGTTAACTTGACGAATTATCCAAAATACTTTTCGCTATCAAAAAAATGAAGTTTTCTTTAAAGGTGAGTGACTTTTGTATCAGCGCCTCATTCTATCCATAAATACAAAAAGCGCTCTTTGATGCCATACCCTTTTTGCTTCTGTGCTGGAAAAAAAAATTTTAGTGCATTGGAAGGCATTATAAACTGCAGTGAAATACAACAAATAACAAATAGTTCGAAAATTTTCTATTTGTTATGAAATGGTATTGGCTTTTAGCATCCATACATGATTCTCTTATCATCATAATACATTCCTTTTGATAAGTGAAATCATTCTCAACTTTTCCGAACAACCGCCTAATAAGATTTTATTTTTTATTTTTTAAACACATTTATTGCTCTTTGGAATTTTTTCTCCTCAAAACAATTCCAACACTTCCAAAGGCATACATTCGAGAAAGTTGCTTATGAAAATGTCATGCCAGTAGGAAGAGATTTTATGCACTGTGGAACGGTTAATGGTGGTAGAAAATGATGAAAGAACTGGTTCTGGAATTCTTTAATCTTTCCAAATCTTATTTAAACATTCGTCAATTCCCTCATTCTAACATTTCAGAATTTCTGTTGTTGCTTTCACTTGAATTTTTGTGTTTTCTACTGAGCTATCACTGTGTTATTTCGTAAGGCAAAATCTAGATGAGAAACTTTTCGAGTATGGAAATGTTACATGGACATTGCTCATGCAAGTAGGCGGCATTTGTCACATTATAAATTACCTTATTCTATATTACAAATGTGCCAGTACAGCACTATACAAATTGCTTGGCCCATAATGCAATCTTAACCAGTGTTGAGAGAAATTAAAACATGAGAGAAATAATGGAGAAGTGAATTGATGCACATGGGAAATTGATCATAAACTATGAAAGTCGGGAAAATTATCATCATAAAATGCACAGATGAATGAAACCATATATGTTCTGTATCAAGAATGCACAGAGCAAAAGCTCGTATGAAGAATAAATTTTTTTAAATGGAATCCTAGGAACTTCTTTAAACAATTTTGAAATCAAAACATTTTCAAAATTGGCCTATCCAGCAATTCAGAACCAATTCATTTCTTTTTTTATTGCCTTTTTTGTTTTCCGTTAGATGCCGCATAAAATTCTCCTTTATTGTTTCCAAATATGACTGCTTGGTACAAATAATCAAAAAAATTTCTGCCAAAGAAATTCCTCTTCTTTTCTTCGTATCGTACTTCAATGCTTCTATTGATCTATCTTCTCCACGTTTTTTTCCATTCCTCGGTTCACTTCAGGTATCTAATTTACCTTATTACCGTCGCAAAGAGAAGTTCCTTTGAAACTGCATCATTCCTTTTGATGTTATAAATTACATTTTTATATTTTATACGATTTTTTGTTTCTTTTATTAAAAATGCCTTCGATGGTATTCAACATGAGGATAAGTATAGCTAAGTAATTTTATCCGTCCCAGTGATAAGACAAGCAAGAGACTTCCAAAATTTCGTAAAGACAAAGAAAAAGTCAATTTCTGAAAATAAAAATTAAAGTAAAAATTTTTTATTGGACTGATCCGTTTATATTGAACAATTTTCATGCGGAATTATAATCTATGGAAAATTGAAGAGCTGACACAAAATTAAGTTACGATCATTTGTCATTTTACAAGTTTTGTAAGATGAAACGTAGGTTGGCTTTGATAAACTGATAATGTTCAATAATTAATGAAACTGACGAATGGATATGGTTCCAACATTAGGTGACAAAATGAAATTTGGCTTCTGAATTTCTCACTGAGTTAAATGGATTAATGAAATATGTAAATTATTTAGTCAGATGTTTCAAGCAAATTTTCATGAATAAATCGGCAAATGCTGTTTAGAACTCATTTATCAATAAAGCTTTTTTATTTCGATAAAGTTTATGGTCGAAAACCATTACACGTTACTGCTTTAGGAATAAATTTACTTTGGTCAGCGTGTTCGTTATCAGTTTGTTCTTAATAATTTTTTTTTATTATCAGAAATATAATAAATATTTAATGATTAACTTCAACTGCTATACGACCGTTGTTATTCTTAAATGAAGTATTGCCTAAATTTCTTGCTGGATGTTTCATACAAATAATTACTAAAACTTCGCCGACAATCAGTGAAAGAGGTCTATTCATTTATCCATTTACTTGGGGATTACACGATAAAAGTAGTATTGCCAAAGGAAATGATACTTTATCACTTAGGTAAAATGAATGAAAACAATTCGATTTCTACCATATAAGGAAGATTACGTCTTGCACATACTACATACTGGATAGAAGGGAAGGCCCATGTTGATGGACATTTCAAATATTCTGTTCCTCCTTTTTATGAAATTTTTATTGGCAACCTTTGATCAGTTGGGATAGTAAAGAAATTCTTCCGTATTTATTGCTTATTGAATAGGAATAGATACTGTACAAATCTACAAAATATTTTCGAACATTCATCAAAATATCGGCTCTTTGAGAAATATTAATTTGACGATAGCAATTGCTGATTGTTTTCATTCGTTCTTTTAAAGCTTTCTTTTATTGATGGTTTAATAAATGTATAGCTCATGGCTGGATCGTAAATTACTGAGAAGAGTACTTTGGATAGACAATATACTGTAACACCTGGTGTTAGACAGTACGGTAAATGTTAATTTGATAAGGGGACGAGTACAAACTTATCAATTCATTTGTTTAGATGTTTCATGGAAGTAAGTGCAAAGTATCCGTACATTAATTTGAAAAGGAACGAGTTTTTATACTTGATTACTTATTCCTATTTTTGCACAAATCCCACAACAGTCATTCGCGTTTTGCCATTAAACCGTCTGGAAAATGTAGTTTTTTTTATTGCGAAATTCAGTGTGATGGATAGATAGATAAATAGATAGGTAGAGAGATAATGAGAAGTGGATGGACGATAAATGAATGAGTGGATTGAGAGAAAGAGAGAGAGAGAGATGGATGCAGCTATGAATAGCCATATATCAGATAGAAAGAGAGAGAGAGATAACGGATGGATGATAAATACTAATGAATCAGTTACTTAATATAGCCAGTTCGTGCAGTAGACGGCAGGAGTGGATGTGAGTGAAGGGATGAGACGGAATGCACTTGGGAGATATTCCGGATAATCACAGCATATTGTTATGTGTTCCCCGGTCTAGTTATGGCAGCCTACGGGTGTAAATAGTAGTATGTGCCCCATATAATATCACAGTGCGTTCAGAATCCAACGTATCACCACCGGAACCGGCGAACTCGTCAGTCCATTTGATTTCCGTTTATTGTATAATTTGACAATTCCTGGATGAAATTTTTTCATTTTGTTTGCATCACACTCATACGAAAATCAACATCGAATGGGCAAAGTTTGTTAAAGAAAATAAAAATGGTACGGGATTAGGTCTGCAATGGCGTACTATCTACCCGACCAATAAGAAAAGAAAAAAGGACAGAATTAAATCCGCGATACTGTTGCAGCAATTCCAATGCGATATTTCATTTCCTTCACTGTTTCTCCAATTTTGATCAGAGCATATTGAATATGCGTATTATTGTCATCAACATGCTAATTGTTGACGCAGTTTCTGTAATATGATCCGATTAACACAAAGCCGTAAATTGTAAGTTGATTTTTAGTCCTTCGTGCTACTTCGAAATAAGAAAGACATGTGGTATTTGCAAAGTAGAAAGTCCCAGTCGATGTATATGAACAAAGGAAAAATGGAGAGCTTTTTTTTTACTCATTTTTCCAAAAAACCAGTTATACTGTTTGGAGTTGGTGTATTGCTACATCTAGTTCAATCAGGTATGAAATGTCGAAACGCTCGGGACATTCAAAATTAATTGTTTGCATTGGGAGTGGTCATGCTGATAACACTTTATTTGCTATCGACGGCATAACTGTCTCATTTCTTCGTTTCGTAAGATCTTCGTTTATTATTACTCAACCTGTTTGTTATTCTTTGGAAGTATATAGTTAATGACTTATCAATGTACCGCAAAACAATCAGTATTGCCGATTCCCGGTATATTGCCGGGAAGTTCATTTAGATTATTAGAATCCTTACATTTTGTTCAGTGATAGGGCGTGCGTGACACGTTACTTTTCACCCTGCATTTTGTACTTCCACCTTATAATCGCCCCAAGCCATCTTCAATGCGTTGCAAGAAAAAGCATGGCTGAGATGAAAACACGAGGCTTTTTCGGTCAGCAGTACTCATAGCACTGCGCAACGGGAAAGCATGGACAGACAGATGCGTCACTTACAGAACTATGCGATAGCATTACATCCTTCGCATAAATCAGAGGTTGAGGAGGGAGGGTTGACTTAAAAGAGCCCGAAAAATCTTGGACACACGCAACACGTACTCACACACACTCATCACATGTACATACACACAGGCGCATACACACATATGTGCATACCCACACATACCACACACACCTACACAAATTCACCTCACATACACATATAAACACACGTACATACATGCACATATAAATACATATATATAAAGAAAGAAATAGACTTGCACCGACGGGAGGACAAATAAGTATTCAACTAGCTGAAATTTGTCAAGTGATAAATATTATCAGTTGCTAAAAGTAGTGCTGATGTTGGGTACTTAATGCCATCAATCAACCGATAATGATAACAGTGACTAACTTGTAGTATCACTTTATCATTTCATTGTACCAGGTCCAGAAGGAACCGACGGTATAGATGGGCTGATCACATGACTTTGAATGTGATGGTGCCATCATTAGACATATCATATTGAATTATTGGGGTTATGTAATTCTAATTATTATTTTTGCTTATTATTTGTTTTCCAATAAATAATTTCTTCTGCATTTTTTTATGGAAAAAGCACCATGAAAGTCCTTTGCCACCTCAAAACGAAAAAGATTCAACTTAGTGGTGATTGAGAAAGGGCAGAAGTTACCTTACACACCAAAGGATGTGGAATCGAGGAAGCAGGGAAGTGTACTCGTCCTCTTCTTACTTTCCCTTTATGATATTGGGTTTCTTTTAATTTTCAAAAGATTTAATGAAAACCATCCAGT